TGATGATGCTAATGCCGCTGATGATGCTGCGGCTGATGATGATGCTGATGATGCTGCTGATGATGATGATGGTGGTGATGATGATGCTGCTGATGATGATTATGATGATGCTGATGCTGCTGCTGATGATGCTGCTGATGATGATGAGGAGGAGGAGGAGGAAGAGGAGGAGAAGGAGGGCTGCCAGAAGTGCCCCTGGCCCGAGGGGCACCCAGGATTTCCAGGGAGGATTCCACGGCCTCCAGTCAAGCAGTGGCGAAGCGTCCCGGCTCGCCTATAGGCTCACCAAACAATGTTCTAAGAACCTTTTGTGGTTTGCACGAAATGCTCTTCGAACATGTCTGGCTGGCTGGGACTGTATTGTTTGAACACATCGGGCTTACGTTCTGCGAACATTGTTTCGGTCTAAGAACACTTCTGGGTTCTAGGAATATTTCGTGGTAGGTCTATATGAATTCCGGGGCGGTCGGTCCCTGCTCAATCCAGAGCACCCCTTCGGGTGCAACTCCTGGGAGAGGTTCGATGCAGCAGCAGCTGTATGATGTCCGTGGTCGGAGATCGGCCCAATGTTGCGGAACCTCCGCTGATTTTGCACCACCCGTATAATCTAGCCTCATTTGACTCAGCCCTGAGCTCACAGTCAACGCGTCTAGTAACGACGCGCGCCTTCATCTAGGGTACCCTTGTGTCCTTGCCTCTGAGGCTCGTCCTTGCCATTATCTCTGGTCGCCCGCCGCCCAAAAATCTCAACTTCGGCCTCCAAGGGTCTTGCGTCCTCACCTCGCGTCCTTACTATACGTTTTGACCGCAATCTGGACCAGTCCATCTCAATGGCCTCTCAGTCGGGCTTGCTAGTAGCCCTTCATCGTTTTTACTTCGGCCCTCAGTGACAGAGCACCCTCACGAGGCTCTCTCAACCGCGCGCAAACCTTCCTGAGCCATGTCTAAAACCTGATCCCAATCCTGCTGCTTGGGCTTGGGACCGAAGACTGGGTCGGAGGGGAACGGCGGAGGCTTCCGAAAGCTGAGCGCCTTGAGGGCAGCTGGGGCAGGGTGAAATGTGAGGTCGACGGGGCGGTGTGGGCTCAGAGGGCCCCAGAGGCCCCAAAGTGGCGCGGAAAGCTGGGGACACCTCCTGGGCCAGGACCATTTCTTCAGAGGGGGAAGAGGTATCGATACCGCTATCCTTGCCTCGCTTTCGTTTGGGAGGCACTCGTCGTCACCGCTTGATTCGCCTGGAAATTCGGGTCAGAACGCACCCTGGGAGAGGTCTGGGGAGTAGCGGTGCCGGTATCGTGTGGTTTCTCCAGTGCTTTTGTTCGAGATCCGGTGGTCCCTGCAGGAGGGCTGTCTCGTCGCCGGAAGCGGGAGCCTTGTGTGCTAATCGCGCGCACGACCGGAAGACTGCTCCGCGGCGCGTGGTTCGAAGACGGGACGCGCCCGCGCGGCGGGCCTGTCTCGTTCGCGAGACGCTGGACGCCTGGGTCCAGGGAGCAGCGGCCACGGTACCCGGCGGTCCCCCCCTCCCAGCATCCGCCACGAGAAAACATAGACACAGGCACCAACCACTGCCTTGCTCCTGGGCCTCAGGGGAGGGTGGCGGTGTATGGATCCCCGCTGGGAGCCAGCGACCTTCTGCACCGCCCCGTCCCTGAAGGTACGGCAGGTTCGCGTCGTGCCGGCCGGCGGTGACCCCCCGGCGCGCGCGTTTGAGGTGGCGCGCCGCCCGTGGGCCAGAGTCGCGGCCCGCCGTTGACCGGATTCGCGGAACGGCCGATCGTTCGAGTCAGAACAATCCCCGCGGTGTCAGGAATCAACGCCGGGGTCGGTACCGTCCCCTCCCTGAAGGTAGACGGTAGAGAGGAGGAGGAAGAGGCGAAAGAGGAGGAGTAGGAGGAGGCGGAGGAGGAGGAGGAGGAGGAGGAGGAGCGGGAGGAGGAGGAGTAGGAGGAGGAGGAGGGCGAGGAGGAGGAGGAGGAGGAGGTGCAAAGTCCCTCGGAGAGTGTCCGTCTAAAGGGTCCGGCTTGAATAAGGAACATTTACTTTTCGAAAGGGGCTCGGTCGTTCCTTTGGGTTGCATGCGTTCCGCCACCTTCTTGGCGGCGAGCCCCCCTGGTGTTCCTTCGGACCTCTGATATTGACTTGGGACAAAGGGGCTTCTTTCCTTATTATCGTTCCTTAGGAGGAGGAGGCGGAGGAGAAGGAGGAGGCGGAGGAGAAGGAGGAGGAGGAGGAGGCGGAGGAGGAGGAAGAGGAGAACAAGGAGGAGGCAGGGAGGAGGAGGAGGAGGCCGAGGAGGAGGAGGTGGCCAGGAGGAGGAGGAGGAGGAGTAGGAGGAGCCGAGAGGAGGAGGAGGTAGGAGGAGGAAGGAGCGCCGAGGAGGAGGAGGAGGAGGAGGTGCAAAGTTCGTCGGAGGGCGTCCGTGTACATACCTGGGTGGCGCGCAGCAGCGCCCTCTGGCAGGCGAAGGCGATCGAGGCGGGCGGCGCGCTGCACACGCCGCTCGCGGCGGAGGCCGCGGCGGCCCTGGCCGCCGCGATCGACGACCTGCTGCCCAGGAGCCGCGGCGGGCACGAGGGAGGAGGAGGGCAGGGAGGAGGGTGGAGGAGGAGGAGGAGGAGGGAGGAGGAGGAGGAGGAGGAGGTTGGAGGAGGAGGAGGAGGAGGAGGAGGAGGAGGAGGAGGAAAGGGGAGGAGGAGGAGGAGGAGGCGGAGGAGGAGGAGGAGGATGGCGGAGGAGGGGGGGGGAGGAGGAGGAGGCAGGAGGAGGAGGAGGAGAGGAGTAGGTAGGGAGCGATGGAGGAGGAGTGAGGAGGAGGAGGAGGTAAGTGGAGGAGTGGAGGAGGAGGGGAGGAGGAGGAGAGGGGAGGAGGATGAGGAGGAGGAGGCGGAGGAGGAGGAGGAGGAGGAGGAGGAGGGGGGGGGCAGGAGGAGGAGGAGGAGGAGGCGGAGGAGGGGGGGGAGGAGGAGGAGGAGGAGGAGGAGGAGAGGAGGAGGAGGAGGAGGAGGAGGAGGAGGAGGAGGAGGCGGTGGGAGGAGGAGGAGGAGGAGGTGGAGGAGGAGGAGGAGGAGGACGGAGGCGCAGAGGGAAGAGCAGAAGAAGAAGACGAGAAGACGAATCATAAGATATATAATAAGAATTAATAATAATAATAAGAAGAAGAACTAATCATAATAGTAATACTAATAATAATAAGAAGAGAAGAAGATGAGGAGGAGGAGGAGGAGGAGGAGGAGATGCCTCACGGCCAAGGCGCTGCAGCGGGGAGCCTGGAGGGTCAGTTTTCGGAGCCTCGGCAGGCGGTGGATGTGGACATATTCGAGCCCCTTTGGGCCGAGCTATATCCGTATCCACCGCCCGCTGGGGCACCAGGACGTCGGTTCCCAGGCGGTGGATATGGAAAAAAATCCGCCTCGCAGCACGTGGGGTTCGGAAGGGGGCCCGATGTTCCTCAGGTCCTTTCATGGCTGCTCCTCCAGTCCTCCTTGTGCACGAATGCGTTTTTTTGGGGGCGGGCCAATAAGAGGCTTCGTTCCCTATTTCTTTGCATTCCTGATTTCGGCGGCCCGACAGTGGGCGCTTTACTTTTGAAACGAAGAGACAACACGGCATGAGCATAAACTTTTGGAGCTCCGTTCGGATTTCTTGGGATCGGCGCTGGGCCCCCCCTGGCAGCGCCTCCGGCGCCGCCCTTGGCGCGCTCTGCGCGCCGGGGAGGGGGGCCCATCGCCGAACCGACAAACCAGCGCGGACCTCGAAGTTCTTATGCTGATGCCATTGTTTGTGCCCCTAACAGTTGCGCTGCCATTATGTGTTTTGGCGCAGCTCGCGACATTGGAACAGCTGTTTTCTTGCTGAAAACGTGATGAGCGATATGTTGACCACAACCGGTCCTTAGAATCATGTTGGTTTTTTGTGTACAGAAGCTGTTATCCAAGGCTGGACCATACCCACACCATCGCCAGAACTTTGGACGATGCCGTCTTTCGAGCGTTAAGAGATAGCAGTGCAATCGCGAGAACACCTGCGTGTGGAACCGCGGCATTGTGGCCCCACACGGGATGAGTGGAGCTGAGGCGTGGAGAGTGGAGCGCCTGACGGATGCCGTGGTCGCGAGGGAGGAGGAGGAGGAGGAGGAGGGGGAGAAGGAGGAGGGGGAGGAGGAGGAGGAGGAGGAGGCGGAGGAGGAGGAGGAGGCCGCCAAACCTCGATCCTTGAAGTTCGACGCGCGAGCCCCGGTCCCGGCCAGGGGCCGCTGGCGGCGCCCGAGGGCCGGGAGACAGCTCCCGAGAGCCCTCCGAGGGATCGGCTCTCGAGCCAGGCAGGAGGGCCGATGCGGTAGGTTCGCGTCGTGTCGCCGGGCGGCGACCCCGCCGCTGGCGTTCAAAGGGGAACGCCGCCAGTGGCCCAGAATCGGCCTGCATGGAAGGATCGGGCAATCGGAAAGCCGCCGATCTTTCAGGGTCAAACGGTCGACGCGTTGTCAGAAACCAACGCCAGGGTCGTCACGACACGATCCTGCATTATACGTCTGGTTGAGGGGGCCGCGCGGTATTTTGTTGTCCCTGGGCGCGTGGCTGCAATGGAATTGCGTGACCCAGATTCTTGTAGTTGGGTTCTCAAGTCCAAAGAATAGTTAGATGATTGATCCCCCCCTCGGTGCACCGTGTGTTTTCCAATGAACATGATCCTCCTGGTGCTCGCGCCTTTCCTTTGCAAGGGAATGTCTTCCTCCTCAGATTGCGCCCCTGGCCCCCGACTTACACCACCACCACCAACAACAACAACAACGACGGCTCTCGCCTGATACGTCCTCACGATCTATTTCGAAGTCGCGCTCTCGCGCAGGATGTCGTCAGAGCTTATGCAGGAATAGCGCTCTCGATGGGTATGTTCTTGCAATTTACTCAGACGACGCCGTGCCCCCGAGACTCAGGGGTCACACTCTCACTCTGGATTTCCTGACGGTTTACTTGGGAATCGCGCGACCGCTCGAAACCTACTTGCGATTGATGTTGGATTGACGCTTCAGTGACCCGCCCGCTCGATCAGGCCGTCTGGGCGGTGCTGTCCCTCGCCGCCGACAGCCCCAGCCCCCGTCCCAACAAAGCCACGGCTCCCGCTCGAGACCTCCTTCTTGCTCAGGGCTGGTGCTCCTCTCCTGCTCGCCGATGACAACCGCCGTCCCAATAAAACCAGCGCTCCCGCCCGAGACTTCCTCCCGTTCTACCGTGGACTGGCGCGCTACTCTTTCTCTCATCGGCGCCGCCCCCAGCAACAACAACGCTCACGCTCGAGACGTCCTCCCTTTCTTGCTCAAGGCGGTGCTCCCCGTCGCCGCCGAAAGCCGCCGCCCCGACACAACCAGCGCTCCCGCCCGAGACTTCCTCCCGTTTTACGCTGGACTGGCGCCCTGCTCTCTTTTGAAGTGGCGCCGCTCCCAGCAAGAACAACGCTCCCGCTCGAGGCTTCCTCCCTTTCCTCAGGACGGTGCTGTTCCTCGCCGCCGACAGCCCCCGTCCCGACAAAATCACGGCTCCCGCTCAAGACTTCCTCCCTTCTTACTCCAGGCGGTGTTCCTCCTCGCCGCCGACAACCGCTGTCCCAACAAACCAGCGTTCCCGCTCGAGACTTCGTTTTGCTTTACGGTGGACTAGCGCCCAACTCTTTTTAGCACTGGCGCCTCTCCCAACAACAACAGCGGCCCTGCTCGAGACTTCCTCCCTTCCTATTCACGGCCAGGTCCTTGCCTCACCGCCGACAGCCTCCACCCCCACCAAGGTAATTCTGTCGCTCGATACTTCCTTGTGCTTCACCCTTGGCTGGGGCGCCACTGGCGGTCTCACATCGGCGCAGCAAGGCGCGGGCATGCGTTTCCGAGGTGGGATATGTTGAAATTCCTCGGAGGTGGTGTTTGCAAGACCCCATTGGGCGGGATATCTGGGATAGGGAATAACGGACCCCGCACATACCCCATGATGGGGATGGTTATCATGATGGTTGCATGCTTCGTGTGGAAGCATCGCGCATGAGGTAACATGATTGTTGTTGTTGTGGGTTGTGGTGGTGTTGTTGTTGTGCTTGTTGTTTGTTGTATGTTGATGGTTGCGGTGTCTTGTTGTCTGTTGGTTGTTGTCTGTTGGTTGTTGACTGTTGGTTGTTGTTTGTTGTTGTTGTTGGTTGATATGTGTTGTTTATTGTTGGCTGTTGGCTGTTGGTTATTGGTTGTTGTTTGTTGTTTCTTGCTTGTTGTTTGTTGTATGTTGTCTGTTGTTGGTTGTATGCTGTTGTCGTCCCTGCCCGCGACCCACCCCGCGACCCACCCGCGACCCACCCCGCGACCCACCCGCGACCCACCCGGCGACCTACCCGCGGCCCACCCGCGACCCACCCCGCGCCCGCCCCTCACTCTCATCCGCAACTGCAGGACGAGGGCGAGGGGAAGCGGGTGAGGAGGGGAGGACGGGCGGAGGAGACAGTGGCCAGGGGGGGCAGGGGGGAGGGGGGGGGGGGCGGAGGGGGGGCGGGTCGAGAGGGGGAGGAGGGGGAGCGAGGGTGGAGGGGGAACGCACGGGGGGGGGGGTGCGGAGGGGGGGGGCGGAGGGGAAGAGGGCGAGAGGTGAAAGGTAAGCTGGGTGCGCTCGCGCAAGCCCCAGATCGAGGGCACCGCACCGCGACCGCGCCCAGGCGACGAGTGCTGCTATCCATACTCACCGCCTGGGGGCTCGATCTTCGGGGGGCGTTCCCCACCTCCCCTCGTCGTGGGGCTGGTAGCGACTGGTGATGGGCTCGTTTTCCTCCACCACCACCATAAGTTGGAGGGGGGAAGGGGGGAAGGAGGTGGAGGACGAGGACGAGGAGGAGGCGGAGGAAGAGGAGGAGGAGGAGGAGGAGGAGGAGGAGGAGGAGGAGGAGGAGCAGGAGGAGGAGGAGGAGGATTACGCTGTAAGGATTACGCAGTGTGGCCGTCCACGCGGCACAGCTCGCAGCTCGGCATCGCAGCACCAAGGGGAAAGTCGAAACCAACGCCAAGACCCTGGTGCCGAGAGAGCCGTCTTCAGATTCATCCTGCGTGCTCCGGAAACGTTCTGCCGGATCACGCTGGCACGCAAGGAATTCTCAGGCGCATCTCACGCCAAACTTGGCGGGCACGGATCGTCCTCGTCCGCGCCGCCGAAAAACCACTCTGCTGCCTCGTCCTCTGGGTCGAGGGGCCTTGCCACAGGCTGGGAGGAGTCGCCAGGAAACGCCGTGGGAGCACCGTCCTGAGCTCTCGACGAAGCCACAGCCGATGGGGCAGGTCCTCGGGCCCCAGGGTCCCCCGCCACAGTCGCTTTGGCGACCGCTTCAGCACAAACGCGCGCATGCAACGCCACGAGGACCGATTTAGGAGGGCCCTCGCGGCGTGGGTACTGGTCTCGCCTGATGCGAGCTAAATTCTCGGCTCCTTCCCGTGATCTCCCAAGGCATCTGGCCTCGAGATGTCTGAAATCTTCCGTCGCATACCTACCGCATTCGTGGCAGAACACCATGCAATACTTGGGCCACTCTCCAAGTC